TACAGCCAGTTTCTTCGGATCTGCTGTTGGACGGACTGCTACGAGATCCTTCCTGCCCAAAGCCATCAGCATCTAGAACAACTAATGAAACCAAGATGAGCTACAACAATTAATTTCCCTTTGAGATTAATAAAGTATTTTTGAATTTGAATTGAATTGAATTGAATTTTTACCACCCACTTGCCCTCAGTCAGAATTAGTTCTCACAGCACTATGGGGGGAGCGTTGTGTGATTGGTCAGAACTTTGTGTGCGTGTTTGTTTATGTAAAGTGGCTGTAGTCAGCTGACCACAGTGCAGCGTCCGCTGAGGAGCTGCTGGCCGAGGGCTTGAGAAAATACAATCATCGTAACAACCGTTCCTGTAAAAATGATAAAGTCAAATAAAACTTATAAAGATAGTTAAAGAACTCCTGGAAGGAGGTTGGACCATTTGTTGCACGCACACAGGAGACAGATGTCTTACATCTTGTTGAAGTATAACCAGGCCTTAAGACTTCAGAAACCTCGCAGCTCTTCAGTTAGGGGTGTCGAACTCAGTTACCAAAAGGAGCCAAAAGTTAAAAGCTTTGTCTGAGCCATGGGCCACTTTCAGCTGATACATTAACTCAAGTCAGATACCGGATATCTTTTCTTGGTTGCAGGTTCATGAACAAGAGTTTGATCTGTCTCACCTGACGTTCTTTTACTCTTTCCACATCAGAATCAGTAATGACAGAATGATCCAGGAGTCTTTCTGGATTCAAAGTTATCCAGCTGGCAAGAGAAGTCTAAACTAAATGATGTATTTATCAGTTTTTTTAAGAAAAAACTTAGAGATACAATATTTTGCATTATCATCTTGAGGGACCAGATTTGGACTGCGGCTCTTGAGTTTGACATATGTGATAGGGATAAGGGCCACTCTTTTAAGAACAGTAACGCTCATATTTTGGGCAGAGAAGACATGGTTTGAGAGGGGGAGAGTGAAGGAAGATGAATAGTAATGAGAAAGACTTCAAACAGAGAAGTTTTGTTGTCAGGTTTTAGTTTTGTAGATCCTACAATCCTGTTCCTCAGTCAGTTTCACTCCAGTTAGCACCTTCATGTGTGACCCGACCGGGACAACAAAGACCCCAATGACCCTCAAGATGGAGGGCAGGGAGAGTCATGTGCAGAAGTGAGTTCATCTCACATTAACGGAGCAACTTACTGCAGTTGTAAAGCTTTGAACGCTTCACTTTTTAGTTTGAATTGAGGAAACCTCTCAGATAAGAAGCAAGCTATCTCTTAAGAAACAAGAAAAGAAGTTCTGTCACCATTTTAAAAATCATGATCAGTATTTCTCCAGGAGTTCTAAAAAAATGAGTGGGGAAAATAAAAAAAAACAGCCAAAGTCCAAATAAGAGCATTAAAAAGCCTCCAGAAAGTTGTCTCTTTGGAAGCAAAGTGTAAAGAAGTGTGGATTGGTTGAACACTTTTGCACGCCACCGTGGATCAGCTGTGTTGTGAGCTTTAATCTCTGTGTTCTGTCAGATCAACGGACAAGTTCTGTACGGCCACAGTCATCAGAACGCCTCAGCTATAATCAAGAGTTCTCCGTCTAAAGTCAAAATCATCTTTATCAGGTATTTTTTTTTTTTAAGTAAACTAACAAAAAGAAACATTCTTGGCAAGAGCCGTGTTATATTTTTATATTTATAAGAAAACTAACATGAACCTCAGTTGTAGGGTTGTAAAATATTCACCAGAGGGCGCCATTGTTCCATGACAAACAATTAAATGTGAAGCCATATCAATGACAGTGACATGCAACACATCATTTCTAATGGAAGTTAGAGATTATTGTTAGCTTTTATTAAACTATTTTACTCTTAAAAACCTTTATTTGTTTCCCAAATGGTCTACTTCCTGCTAATTTTATTGTAAACTGTATATTCAGATAAAATCACAGCATGTTGCAGAAGTAGTGAGATCATACCTGGTTTTACCTTCGTCTCTAACAGAGACAGACTATCACCTCAGACTAAAGACAAGTTTGACCTCTGACCCTGGTTTAGTCTTTGCCAGGATCCCACTACTTAACCTCCCACTTAACTCGTATCCCAGTCCTCCTGGGAGAGACTCTTTGATCGGACGGAGGAAATTACCGTACGGTTGTAGAGGAGCAGCCTCTTATGAGTTCTGACTGTGAAACAGGAACACGGAGGCGCTGAACCAGATGGCTGTGGGACCTGAGAGGGAGCACGATGGAGACGCAGAGGAGCCCCACGCCGAGGTACGACTCTTCATCATCATCAACTTTATTTATAAAGCGCTTTAACACCAGCCACAGCTGAAGCAAAGTGCTGGACATCAGTAATAAATAAGATAAGAGAAAGCATACAAATAAAGAACTCTTCTCAGAGAACACAAGTGCTCCCAGTGGCTCCCATCATGCAGCTGTCAGGCTCACGCTGCCTAACTTTGGTTCGATCTGTTTCTCATGTGCGGAAATCAAGCGTCACGTTTTTAAGTTGTAACTGCGATCGCACACAAAGAGCTCAAATTAGTTTGAAGATTATTTCTGGACTGATTCCCACCAACCTAGAAACTTAACAAATTATTATTATATTTACATTTAACTGGAAGTGTACCAGTGGGCAATGAGCTCACCCGTGCCCATATCTTCCACTTAATGATCCTTTCAAAATAAACTACAACGACTTTGGGACGCTCCAAGTTCTTTTTTTTTTTTTTTTTTCCCAAGATGGACGTTGGGCGTAGTTGTACCTAAAAAAGTACCTCAACTAGAAAAAAAACAACTTGACGCGTCACTACCAGGCGCAAGGGGAAGGAAAACGAAAGAAGTTGTGATAGTCGCATTCATTCTTTGACATCTTTCTATTTTAAATTAACTTTGAATACTCAAAAGTCACAAATTGTGGTTTTCTCAATCGCAACAATAAACTACTGTTTTGTTTTATTATTTCATAATTAAATTAAAGGAATCAGAGCCTTGAGATGGACAGTCATAGTAACTTTTTCACGTCCAGACAGTGTTTGATGTGTCTCTCTCTGTGAGAATACCAGCAGTAAAAACTTTATTTACAAGTTTTCTGTATGTCAGTTGTCCAACCCAACATAAAACTCTCCCAACTCGTCTTCACAACTAGTCGTGTTTTTACAACACTGAGACCTTCTGACGGCAAACAAGGACACTGAAACCACTGAATAATGAAAACATGGAGTTTTTTTCAGCACTTTAGTTTCGTTTGCAACTTTTCAGGCCCTTGCACCAGAAACAAAATACACCGATAATGTAGGTGATGTGAAAAATCCAGGAATCAAAATGATCATTAAGACATTGAAGTCAAACATCGTCTGGCTGCTTGCAGCATATTTTACTATCACATCCTGTATGTTTTCACCCTATATAATTGTTTATTTTTATTTTTTTGTAAAGCTTAGTTGTTACAGACACGATTAGGCAGACAAACTGCTCAATTGTCCCGACGTGGAGCGAAGAGGGGACCTGGAAATAAGCTCCGTTTGTCTTGTGAGCTGGATAACTTGAAAACTAAGCACTCTGCCAACTTTCATTTTGGTGTGTAGCTGCATCTAGACCAGGGGTCTGCAACCTGTGCGATAAAAAGAGCCATTTTTGCCACTTTGCTTACTAATTATGATGTCCAGAGCCACAAAACCTGCTACAACTGTGTACTGTCAACTGGTGGCCTGTGGACCACTACAAGGTTTGTTGGAGATGGCTTTTCTGCTAATGGAGGTAATTTTATAAAATTAAAATAAAAAATGGCCAACTATTCTTAACATTTATTATATTTTTACACAAAAGAAAAGACCAGATTCATGTAAAGAAAGAAAAAATATATCATTTTTAACAATTTTATCAAAATTAAAACACTGAACTGTGCATGTGAGTTCTCAATTGTTGAAGAATTAAGTGTCCTACTTTAAAGCATAAAGTTAAAGACAGGCTAAAATTAGGATATCCAGTTACATTTTTAAAGAAAAATAATTTTGTTTACTTTGACTTTGTTTTTTTGTGTTTTACTCTTAGTGTTTTCAAAGTTACTCACCATGTTCCTTCAAAGGAACTTGTCTTGAAGATATTCCAAAACATCCTGGTGGTTTTGAGAGAAAGATCACGCCGAGAGACTGGAAGTCGACTTAAGAAAGTGGCTAAAGAACTACTAGCATGATGTAGTCCACATGTTCTGCTCCTTGTATTTGTACTAACCTTCACATATTTGAAAATGACAGGGAATCTGCTGAAACTAGCCGCTTTCATTGTTTGTAATAATTTAAATAAAATTCAGTTTTAGTTTTAGTTTTGGTCAAAGCCTGAAAGAGCCGCTGCAGAGGAACCAAAGAGCCACATGTGGCCCCAGAGCCACAGGTTGCAGACCCCTGGTCTAGACGTAAGAAAGTTCTGTATCAAAAATTGGGTTGCCATGGCGAAATCCAAGATGGCCACACCATCGGTATGTAAACCGGCCACCCCGATTATTCGATGAAACTGCGCTTCCTAGTTTTTATATGGCTTAAAAGTATAGCTTCCTCGAATAACTGAGGTGGCCATAGATTAATCTTCGGTGACCCCCTGGCTCCACCATTGCACCTGCTGGTGAAATAAGATGCTCCTGCGCTCATCAGGATCCATCGCTCAGCACGGCCTCATACAAGCAAAACAAACCACCTCTGTTGTTCTTCACGGTGTAACTCCCTCCCACCTGCATGTCTCACACCAGAAACATTCAGGTTTACTTGCATTCCCTGTTCAGTTCCAGTCCAGAAAAACACTCATCTTGAAAACGACAAACATTCACTAATAAAATCCTTCCATCGACGAGGGGCGTCTGCATACAGCTTGTTTTTATGGATTGAAAGTGTCTTTGTTAGGTTTGTCTGTTAGATTCTTTGATTGTGCCGCTTTTCTTAAGAGAATACCTTACAGCTCTTAAATGCAGCTGCTCGATTTATTTAACTTTTAATTAGACGTTTTTACTTTTATTTACATCAAATTTTAACATTTTGACAATATGTATTGTAAAAAAATACCTTAAAAAGCAAGATATTGGTTCTAGTTTGTATCTTTTAACCCAGTACTAACTGTCTTCTGTTCTCCACCAGCCAAAACCAACTGCAGCTGACGATGACGACTCTTCAAAACATGCTCACCCCGTTGTAAATGTGAGATGCACTACCTGAACGCACCCCCCACAACCCCCACACACACACACACACACACAGCAGCTTTTGAACCAACACATAAAGACATTCAGAAGGAGGAGGGCCTAGAGGCAAAGCAGTAATAAGAAGGTGTTCAAATATAATGATGATGATAATAATAATAAAAGCACCACGGGGCATGATGGAGAACTTCCAGAGAAACAGACAGGAACTGTCAAGTTTGACCAGCTGCCAAAAGAAGATATGGGAAGTTATAAAGAAAACTGGAAAAGTAAACAAAACGGTTAGTGAACGGAAGAAAGGAACACAGAGGAACTTAAGGGTTCAATTCAGACAATAAGTATATATATATATATTTTTTTGCCTATAGAATCGCCATAGTTCAAGCTTTTTAAAGTGTATTGTTCGATCTTTTGAGTTCCACTGGCACAAACTAGTAGCACAAAGTTCCCCGAGGAGCCAACTACCTGCTGACCTCCGGTCTGTAGAGTTTTTGTTAACAACCTCACGCATACAGTCGCTCATTCATGTAAGGGCTTTAAACTCTCTGTGAACCAAAAATGGAAAAAACTTGGAGAAATTTAAATGATGCAACATGCAACTGGAGATAATACTTGTTAGTCAGACCAGGTTTCACTCGCTGTTGCAACTCTTTGCTTCACACACTTTTATTCTGATACACAAACGGTACGATCTTACTGGAAAGAGTTAATGATAGAATGCCCCCCACCGCAGGAAGATGGAGGACCTGTTGACCAGACCACAGAGTCTGGAGTTGAGATCCAGAATATATCTGAAGTGATGGGACACACTGGAAAGGTATAAAAACCAAACAATGAAGACAGATGTGAAAGTCTTTGCTAATGAAATCTTGTTGTGCAGGAGTTCGATCAACTCTCAGCTGTAAATGGAGAATCGGTGCTCGGATACGTTGTTGAAAAGGTAAGTTGTGTCAAAAAATAATTCTTACAACTTCAAAAGATCTAAGGCACCGACTGCAATATTCCAGATATTTTAGTCCTCCGTCATGGAGCGAAGAGGGGAATTAGAAATAGCCTCCATCCATCTGTTCAAAATCCAAGATGGCTGCCACCATATATGTGTATACGTAAACCATGTGAACTAAATATTTTGAAAAAAAAAAGGCAGCATGCCAACTGCATATAGGCGTGAGAAAGCTCAGTACCGGTATCTAAAATTGAGTTGGCACTTCAAAATCCAACATGGCCACCATCATATGTGTGTGTGTGTGTGTAACAGGCCACTCTTATTATTTGAGACAGCCATGTTTCTAGTCTTCATATTACCTACAAGTATGGTTTCCTCATAAATGAGAATAACGCTGTTATCGGCATGGTATCGGTATTGGCCGATATTAGTGAGTAAATGTCATGAATAAATTTGACATTAAACATAATCCAAGTTAAAGTGTTACATCATTTTCAGCCCCCTTTTTGGCATCTGCATTTGGTAGCAGGCCAAACTGACAAAGACCATGCAGAATAATTTAGTATTTTAATTCCATAGCAGAGTCTGTGTAGTCTCTGTAAGTAGGTGTAGGGGGGGAAAAAAATCAGTATTGTTATTGGTTATCGGCCAAATAAGTTTTAACATATTGTCATATCAGATATCGTCCAATAATCCAATATCGTGCATCCCTACTAAAAACATTAAAGTTTACCTGCATTCTTTGTTCAACTCAATTCAGTTTATTTATATAGCTCCAAGTCACAGCAGAAGTTATCTCAGGGCACTGAACAGAAACATTCATATACATAAAAATTCAATTACCGGTAGTAACATTGTTTTTCTTAGGTTGGGTAGGGTAGCAGGGTGTAGCTAATTCTAGTCCAGAAAAACACTAATCTAGAAAACTACAAACATTCACTATTCCAAACCCTCAGCAATGAGGGACATCAGTGTACCACTTGTTCTAAATAAGAATTTGTTTTCTTTGTTTAACGAAAAATCATGGCTCATATATTCTAACAAACATTGAAGTACCATGTAGTACCACTAGGGGGTGATAATGTTCATTTGAACCACATATTTAACTACTGGACGTCTTTTCTGGTATTTTGCTTCTTATGTGAGGAGATTCCTTAGCTTGGCTAAAGATATTCCCCAAATAATCAATTATTTTTTAACCGTTACATGCCCGCACCATGTTTGGGTTTTTTTTGCGTGTGTGTAAAACTTTACTTTTTCCTCTGTTATGAATCTTTTTAACACTAGATCAAAGTTTAATAGCAAAAAGCTAAAGATAAAGAAAGACAGTTGTAGAAAATGTAAAATCAGTTCCTATGTGGTTTCTTTCTGCGGCATTACGTCAAAGTTTCTTCACAAACGCAAAAAATATGTATTTTGGAAAGCGTTCTGTAAAGTCAAGTTTTCTGGCCCAACACAGCAGAAAGTTTTTGTTTTTAAACCTCTCTGGAGAATTAAAAGAAAGGGCCAAAGTCTGATATGAATTTCCCTGCTGAGTAAAGCTAACGGTCCAGTCAGGCTAAACTTGTCTACACGAGACTCTGTCCTTCTGGTCTCTCCAGTCAACTTGTCCAGACAGAGGGAGCTCAGAGGGACTCTCCATCAGCCTTCCCAGCATGCCAAGCACAACCTCCAGTACCTTAAGTCAACTAGAGGCAGAAACCGTCACAAGTGAGTCGACAGTTTCACAAGAGAAATGTCATTTTCTGTAAAAATAACTTTGAACACTGACCATCAAAAATTTGCTTAAAAGGCAGAAAATGAGTTGAAAATTAATAAAAATTGACTAAAATTATTACAATAATAGCTAGAAGTATCAAAAAGTTAGCTAAAAGCTAAATGTAGCAAAATACATGTTAAAAGCAGCAAAATGTTAGCTGAAACCAACAGGCAAAAGGCAAGCTAAAAGTATCAGCCAGCTAAAAACGAAATGTTAAAAGGCTAACTAAAAGTTTCAAAGGACTAGGTAGAATCTAAATGTAACGAAAAGGCTGGCTTAATGCCAAAAGTACTAAAATGTTAGCTAACAGTATCATAAGGCTAACTAGAAGCTAAATGTAGCAATAGGCTAGCTAAAAGCTAAGAGTAACAAATAGCTGGCTAAAAGTATCATAAGGCTAGGCTAAGCATAGCTATAGATTGGCTAACAGCTAAGAGTAATAAATAGCTGGCTAAAAACATTAAGGCTAACTAGAAGCTAAATGTAGCAATAGGCTGGCTAAAAACTAAGAGTAAAAAAAGCTGGCTAAAAGTATCAAAGGGCTAGTTAGCAGCTAAAGGTAACAAAAGGCTTGCAAAATGCCAAATTTACTAAAATCTTAGCTAAAAATTTCAAAAGGATAGCTAGAAGCTAAAAGTAAGAAAAGGCTGGTGAAAAGCTAAGAGTGACAAAAAGATGACTAAATGTATCAAAGGGCTAGTTAGAAGCTAAAAGTCACAAATGGCTAACACAATGTCGAATGGTAAATGGACTGTGCTTATATAGCGCCTTTCTATCTTATCAAAAATACTCAAAGTGCTTTACACTACATTCATTTACTAAAACATTAGCTGAAAGTATCAAAAGTCTAGCTAGAAGCTAACAGTAACAAAAGGCTGGTGAAAAGCTAAAAGTAGAAAAAGCTAACTTTAAAGTAACAAAAAGATGGCTATAAGTATCAAAGGGCTAGCTAGTAGCTAAAATAATAAAAGGCTGGTTGAATCAACATTCACAGTATGAATAAAACTTCTGCTAACCGGATCAAACAACTGACCGCCTGCTGCAGGTCTCAGCCGCTCGTCCACCCCGTCCACTCTGACCTGCGACCCCGCGACCTGTCCCATCATCCCCGGCTGTGAGACCACCATTGAAATCTCCAAAGGCCACACGGGCCTGGGCCTGAGCATCGTGGGAGGCTGTGACACCCTGCTGGTACGAGACGGTGAATTAGGCTTTAACCTCCTCTCACCAGGTTTATATAAAGGAGTTTGATTAACTTGTATGAAAGAAAGCTCAAATGTTTTAACATTACTGTGACTGTACCTCCCAGATATAATACTTATCACCATAAATTTAGTCTGAAAGAGCTGTGGCAGCTCAGGAATGTAGGAGACGATGTTGTCACAGCTTTCCTCCTGCTGCTGTCGTCCTCTCAGCCCATCCTTTCTGTCTGTTCAGTCAGGCTTAGGGGGGTCAGTACATCTGACAAACCTGGAATTCAACCTTTGGACCCCAAATTACACCCTGAAATGCACAGAAGTTATTTCCCCAAGTCATTCAAAAAACTTGTGTTTTCTCCTTCAATAAAGGTTTATTTCTACAAATAACACCCTGAATAAACACTAAATTGGTGCTTCTTGTCCTTCACATCTTTGCTTTTGTCTCAGGGGGCCATCATCATTCATGAAGTTTATGAAGAAGGAGCCGCCTCCAAAGATGGCCGACTGTGGGCAGGGGACCAGATCCTGGAGGTACCTGTCAGATACGACTAGCGTGGCACGTTTGTCCCAGATGAGATACAAAGAGATGTACCCGAGGAGTTTAAACATTTCTAAAATTTGAGGATCAAAACGTTTGATAGGGGAAATCTAACAGATGAAAGTTTTGTTACAAGCAGCAACACAGCAGTGAAAGGTTACCATAGAAAATTGGCTTGACATGTCAAAATCCAAGATGGCCACCACTGACACCACCATCAACCTAGCTACCCCATCATTAGAGGAAACTATGCTGTCTAGTTTTTATATTGTGTATAGTTTCCTTGGGTGGCTGGTGGGGTGGACAAAGATTAATTTATGGTGGTCAAGGTCACCATTGGCCACCCCATGGCTCCGCCATTGCGCAGGCTGGTCGATAAAACTGCTCTCTTCGCACATTAGGATCTGTCACTCTGCTCTGACTCGGACAGACAAAAACCCTCCCTCTTTTCTTACACACAGTGTAAAAGGCCCTGCCTACTCCATCCGAAGTGGCGAAATCGACTCGTTGATGTAGTTGCGTGACAAAAATCACGTCATTTTGTTCTCGGAACAGCTTCGCCTGCCCCTTCTCGACACAAAGCCCAGGCTGAACTTTTTCTCACAGGCATATACGCCAGTGGTGTTGTCTACATTTTTGTAGTGGGTATACTCTGCTTAGAAACCAAAGTACACATGTTAATACTATGTAATCGTCAATTTATTTTGATTTTTAAACATATTGAACATTTCAAAATTTTTCTGATGCTTATATTTGAATAAATGTACAAGAAACTTTGTACCACAGTTGACTTTGTATTAAAAACATGTTATAGAATTTATAAAACGGTGTCAAAGCAAAACATGTTCAAGTATTAAGTAGTAAGTACAGAAGTATTAATTATACAAAAACATGGTGAACTAACTCAACGTGTCTGTAAAATGTTCCAATAGTGTTGACAATGATACAAGTCCATGTCATGTATCATTGTCAATGATAAGTGACATGGACTCGTATCAATGGGCACTTTTAAGTGGGTATACTGACATTTTCTAGTTTATGTAGTGGTTATACTCCGTATACCTGCGTATTACATAGACTACACCACTTGTATACGCCAAGTATTGTGTGATTGGTCAGATGTTTGTGGATGTGTTCGTCAATGTGGAAATATGCTCGGGCATTCATGTGCACGACTCTTCAAACACACTAAATTAGTCCAATGGTCAAAAACTCCTGGACGGAGATCACGCTGATGTGTACGGAGGAGCCGGACCCTTAACTCCTACCCACATGAATATCTTGCACCAAAAACATTAAGGTCTTTTTGCATTTCCTGTACAATTTTAGTCATCTAGAAATCTACAAACGTTCACTATTCAAACCCCTCAGCGACGGGGGACATCGGCGTACCGCTTGTATGAACACTGAGAAGTTAAATGTGTGGGCTCAACTTGGATGTGTCCTCCCTTTGACCCAAAGCTTTGTCCCAGAGGGGCAGCGTTCAGGACTGGAGTCATTGTAGCTCGCTCAGCAGACCTGAGCTGAAAGGCACCCACCATTATGACTTAATTACCCCCCACTATTCATTTTCTGTCTGAAGGCGATTGTGTTTAGAAAGTAAGGTCAGAGAGGCAAAGTGTGTGTGGGGGAGCACTTTCCCATTGAACAACCATGCCGTTAGCTGCTCTGGGAAAAATTCCTCACATGTCCAAAATGAAAGCTAATGTGCTATTAACCCCTTTTTATTGTGGTAATAAACAAAACTGGTGGACTTCAGTTAAAGTGGCTACTTGAGTTTCTCAGAGTTGTGCAGGGAGGGGGTCTCTGTGGTTGTTTTGTTGTCTTCTGACATCTAATTTCTGTACATCCATCTCTATCGCCCTCAAACTGTTTTGGCATAAATTTAGGCTTTTAGCACTTTTTATAATCCTCTTCCTGTGATGTACGTCCACATCTTAAGAAAAAGGACAGCTCAGCTGTGTTGTGACATGCCAGGTTTGCCTTGAAGAGTTTTTTTGTGTGTATCTCATAGGTAAACAACATCGACCTGCGAGCAGCCAGCCATGACGAAGCCATCAACGTGCTGCGGCAGACCCCGCAGAAGGTTCGGCTCACGGTCTACAGGGACGAAGCTCAGTACAAGGAGGAGGATCTGTGGGACTCCTTCACCGTCGAGTTGCACAAGAAGCCCGGCCAGGGTTTGGGTCTGAGCATTGTGGGGAGAAGGTGAGAGATATTTACCGTTAGCGTGATGGTTAATGCGTCATTGCGCAATAAATGGGACCTTTTATTTGTAGGGCTGGAAGAGCCGGTACAGATGAAAAGATCCAAGCTACTTTCTTTCTGGTATCGGATCCCAACATTGGAGTTTAAATATACCAACACCGGGCTGGCACAGTATATAAAATAAATATTATAGGATTATAAATGTTCACAGTATCAACCGTGAAAAGGTCTGAAAAGACTGATAAACCCAAATCCATCATATTCCATGTGTCATACATCAAGGGCCATTCAACGCTCAGTGGGCAACAGTTAATAAAAGCCAACAACTTAGACAATCCAGCACTTTTTGTCCTTATCTAAATTTAATTTACAATTTTAAATCCAGTTTTATTTGAAATTAATTCATTGTCAGATGGACTGAGTTGTATAGTCCTGTCATAGATTATGTAAACAGTAGTCCCTCGATATTTGGCAGTTCGACTTTCGTGGACTCACTCTTTCACGGGTTTTCAAAGTAAGATTGTACACAACACATGATTGGTGATGGTGAAAGACAGACCCCGCCCCCTCCTTTCTCTTTCTGAGGCGGTCTGTCTGTTCACCAGATCAGATGAATAAATGTAGAATATCAGAAAAATAAGAGTGAATCAGTTTTTAAAAAGAGAGAGTGGCTGAGCGCGGCTAAGTGAAGCTCACTCAGAAAAACGACAGACCTTCTCGCCCCCTCCTTTCTCTTTCTGAGGCTTTGTGACAGAGAGCCTCAGAAAGAGAAAGGAGTGTGCGGGGGGGTGGGGGGGAGTTTGTCCTATACCTGAGTGAGCTGCACAAGCGGCATGGAGTATTTATTTAATATAATCAAGCGAGACCCGAAACGAGCTTTTGGCACAGCCCAAAGCAGGCCAGGCCACCAGGAAATGTCCCGGTGCTCCCAATGACTAGTCCATTGTCGAGAGCGTTGAGAGAGTTTAGAACATTGTAAGAGTGTGGGAAGGGTTTGTAAAACCTTAAAATATATATAAATACTAAAATAAATATAGCGTCCCTACTTGGTGGATTTTCACCTGTCACGGGGGTGTCCGGAACGTTAACCCCGCAATAAGTGAGGGACTACTGTATAACATCACCACTCCGACAGACAAATTTGTTATATTAGTTTTTTTTAACTTTCTCTTACAGATGTTTTTTTTTCTGTTTTAAGATCTAGTTTTATTTTAAATGAGCTCACCAGTGGGCCAGGTGTGGCCTCAGGGCCGCCAGTTGAATAGCCCTGCTCTACATACTGCTAATAGAGATTTATGGACACTCCATGTCCACTCCTGATTTAGATTAAAGTTGCCAACATGGCAAAGCACACAGAATTGTGAGGATTAGAAGGAAAGAGAAGAAAGAAAGTGAGAACTGTGTGGTTCTGTCACGACTAATGTAATTATTACAAAAGTCTAAAATTATTATTATCATTTCGTGTTTTTCTAATATCCCATAGCTGTAGTTTATAATTGTTTTTGTTTATTTCATTTGGATGTGTTTGGTGAGGTTGTTTCATAATGAGACTGAAGTCAATCAAAAAGGCATTTAGAGTTAAACTGCTGCGATAAATCCAAACTTTGAGTTTATTTATATCACAGGTAAAAATACAAGAAGCAAAAAAATGTCACATTCGCCCACTTGTCTGTTCCAGACTCTCTGAGGTGGCAAGTCCAGGTGATGCTCCAACTGTATCGTCTTTTCATATTTATATATACTTTGAGTTCACCCCTTTCTTTCCACGAGTGGTTCCACTTCACTTCAAACTCTGGTCCTCTACCAGAACTGGGAGCTTCAGGGTTCTGCTCAGTATCTGCAGGAGCCACTCCTCCTGTTCGGGGGTCATGATCCCGAGCGCTTCAGTGACCACTGAAACCACTGAAGGGCTTGACTCTCCGCATCTTTAATTCTTTAGCTTCTCCTGCTCCTCCTGTTTGACGGTCACCTCTGCTTGGTTGTGGTGGTGCTGCTGACTTTGGAGCAGGACGTGCGGGGTTCAAACCTCGGTGGAGCCAACCAGTGACCTCCGTGTGATGACTGAGAGACCGAAATGATTCAGTGCTGCCTCAGATTAAGTCAAGTCAAATTTATTTATAATGCACATTTAAAACAGCAGCTGGTACCAAAGTGCTTAACAATAAGATCAATGCAGTAAATACAAATAATAGGATGTGACTAAAAGCATAAAAAATTAAACACAAAAACAATGAAATAGTAAATCAAATCTCACTGTGTTAATAAATGTCTGTGAAAACAGGTGTGTTTTCAAGAGAGATATAAAAGCAGGGAGTGAAGTAGCCTGTCTAATGTTGAGGGCAGATTGTTCCAAAGTTTAGGGCCAATAACTGAAAAAGCCTGATCTCCTCTGAGCTTCAACCAAAAGTAGCTGGTCAGATGGTGTCAGCGCCCAAGAAGGAACATATGGTTGAAGTAGGTCAGCGTGCAAGGCCATTAATGCACTTAAAGGTCAACAGGAGAATCTTAAAATCAATTCTGATACGCACAGAGAGCCAGTGAAGGGAGGACAAAACTGGTGAAATATGCTCAAACCTACGAGTTCCTGTTAATAGCTGAGCTGCAGTATTTTGGACAAACGAGACGCGAAACAAGGTCTTCATCAGATGTTATGGAGAGAAGTGGGCTCCTGGTTCATCAGTACGCATTTAAATAACCATTAATGCAAAAACGTTTTTAACCTCAAGCCCAAACCTCATTGGTTTAGTGGAAGTACTGGCTCCCTATATGATACTAACTGTTATCGCATACTTTGGTCTCAGTGTCGTAGACTCGTATTAGATACAAGGAATGTAAGAATTATTTGTAACTGCAGTCTTTCTATTTTCTTTTCAATGCAGATCGAGGGATCACAGGTAACCATCTGCTTATTTATATAAGATGTTGAGGAAGCTGCGCAAATAATGAGAAGCGTTAAAATTAGTGACTTACATGCACTAAAGACAAAACTCACAAATGTGTGGGTTTTATTTACAATACGCATAAATGTGTGCCTATTTCTTGTAACCCTAAATTTACTGTATATAGGAGTGCAAATGTTTATTGTGAGATCCAAAAGGCTGAACAGCAGCTTCAGTTGTACGCTTCTGCCTTTCTGCTGCTCATGTGCAAAACTCTTAAAAAGCCATAAAGAATGGGAACTGCTGAGGCGACCTAAAAAAAGAAACAACGCCTGGTTGAAAAGGAAAAGTGTGAGGTAGCACTTAGTGGTGAGGAGCTGTGACAGCCAAGTGTCTCTGGCTCAGGATGTTGAGTTGGATCAAGCTGCGCCGCTTCACGGTGTCTGATCGTCTTCATCCACGTGGAGATTGACGCCCGAACCGTGCATTTTGGAGGAACAAGGTTTTAGTGATCCATTGGTGGCGCTCCTCAACAATTACAATTTGTAAAAAATGCTCTGAATCCTTGGTGCGATGCTAATCGGCTTCATTTCTCCATTTTATCCACCAGGAGCGACACGGGGGTGTTCGTGTCCGATGTGGTGAAAGGAGGCCTAGTGGATGCCGACGGTCGGTTGATGCAGGGCGACCAGATTCTGTCGGTCAACGGGGAAGACGTGCGGTCGGCCACTCAGGAGGCCGTTGCCGCCTTGCTCAAGGTGGCTCAGCTCAAACAGTAAAATCCTGCCTTGGCTGAGCAGCTGGGTTTAACGCTGACCCTTGTGTTGCAGTGCTGTGTGGGACCAATCAAGATCGAAATGGGGAGATTTAAGGCAGGCCCCTTCCACTCTGAAAGAAGGTTTTCTCAGAGCAGTCAGGTGATTCAGCTCAACTTTAACATGGACTGAGGATCCATTTTCTTCAATTCCCTGACATTAAACAAGCTCTTGATGTTCTGGTTTCAGATTAGTGACACAGGCAGCTCCAAGGTGGCCCATCTCTCTGGTTTGGACTCGGGAAGTCTTCATGGCGATTCAGACAAACTAAGCAAAAGTCCGGAGCGTAAGGGCTATAAGACTGCAGATATTCACCAACGATGGTCAAAAGCTACAACGCAGAGTGACCCATTCTAAGCCCAGTTCTTTCTACCACCCTGACAGCTGCAGAGCACCAGGACATCAGAACTGTGGAGCTCACCAAAGGTCCCGGTGATTCTCTGGGCATCAGTATCGCGGGTGGACTTGGCAGCCCTCTGGGGGATATACCCATCTTCATCGCCATGATGAATCCTGCTGGCCTGGCTGCTCAGACGCAACTCAAGGTACGAGATTCACGTCTCTTCTTGTGGAATACCCTTCTCCTTCGACCTTCAGCAGAGTGTGAAAACAAGGAATTTGCATATTTCTAATTCTTGTGTTGTTTGGGTTAAGGCAGAAAATCTCAGTTATGCAGCACATAACTCCAAAGTTACGTGCTGCATAACTGACGGTCTCAGAAGGTCTTCAGCCTTCAGCCTTTAGGCAGCGGCCTTCGCTCCGACAATAGCACTCGCCAGGGTTACTAAAAATATCTCCCTATGCAATATGTGACATACAAGTATTTCACTGTCAGGAAAACAGAACTTGAAGAACAATACAATACAATACAGTGCTGTAGTCCTGGTTTGAGCTGATAAAAAAACCAACAGAAAATGTTATCTAAGGAGCATTGTTGTTACAGGACTTGCAATGCCTCATATGCAAGGTATTTAGTTGTTGTCTGCCTGTCTGACTTGTAATATGTCAGGCGCAGTAGGCTGTAGTTCACCAATCTTTATAATTCAACACAAACAAATAATATGAGGCTAAGTGGCAGGTAATATTTTAAAAACACTCAAGATCACAAAAATACCATCACCATCCTGGCATTCTCTACCTGGAGTATAAAAACAATCTAAAAGTGGTTTATATCGAATTTAGAACTTTTTCATTTTTAAAGAACATTTTCACCTTTGAAAAGTAGAGTAAAAGAACTGATCGCTAACGGTTAACACTGACTAACACCGGCTAACACTGGCTAACACTGACTAACACTGGCTAACACTGGCTAACACTGACTAACACTGGCTAACACCGGCTAAC